CATGTTTTTATTGATTTCAGAGAGGAAAGGGGAGAGAGAGAGAGAGAGAGAGAGAGAGAGAGAGAGAGAGAGAGAGAGAGAAACAAGTGAAACTAATGTTAACTGGATAGGAAAGCAAGAGAAGATACTGAGGGTAGGAGCCATGAATTTAACCATGAAAATCATTCTTGTTTCAAAATGAAATAATGGACACAGAATTTCAATTTGGGATAAAAAAATAGTTCTGGAGCCAGACAGTGGCAACAGTTGCACAACAATGTAAATGTACTTTAATGTCACTGAACTGTACACTTTGAAATGATAAATTTTATATGTATAAATTATCACAATAAAAAATAAACATCTGTGGCAGGTACAGATGTTATTTGCATACTGCCTTAGACTGTCTCAGAATAATATATTTTCTATGGAAGAAAGTAGCTTTAAAAATCAAATTTCAACTTATTGAGAATAAAGAGAGAGTATTCCCTCTTATCATGGTTCCAAACTTGAGCGTGTATAACAGTCACCTATAAACATGGAGATCATGGGGACCCAGGAATATTATGTTACTTGTTTCCCTGTTCACTGACTTACTTTAAGCCTGTACCATAGGTAGGTAAACTGCTGCACACGAATAAGGAGGGATGCACAAAATTGTTCATTGCAGCACTATCCATTAGAGCCACACAATGCAAGCAACACATTGCAATCAATTAGGAATAGATCCATATCATAACTAACAGTCAAAGTAAATAAATTAGATCTTCACATTTAGACATGGGGGGAATTTTAAAAATATAATTTTAAGCCAAAAAAAAGCAAGTTGCATAATGACTGTACATTATGATACTATTTGTACAAATATTTAAACACATTATTTGGGGATGCCTGCATATGCAGTAAAAATGTAAAAATACAGAAGCAGTTATCTTTGGGGAGGGAAAGAAGTGGGTTCAGGATGGGATACAGAAGAGGAGTACATCTGTGTATGTAACATTTAATTAATGTTAAATCTGAGTACATGGGTGTTTATTAGTGTTACTATATATTTGTTAGATGTTTGCTATATTTCACTAAAACAAGAGGACTCAGGAACATCTAGATTAATCTGGAATGATTTCCAAGTCATGTGAATGAGTAGCAGCATTTTACACTATGCCTACTAAGTCTGATTTCTAGTCATTTTTTCCTCTATTCCCAAAAGTTTTTTGGTTCACCAAAAATAATGCTTCAAGAGTGCTATCCACAAAATATTTTTAAGTACTTACCCAATAAACAGAGATAGTTGGGTTCAGTCAATCTGGATAGTTTTGTGACCTGATTCAAGATGTTGTAAAGCTCTGTTGGTTCACATAGAATCAAATCAGCCATCCTATAGGGAAGAATAAACGTAAAGCATACATAGCCAGGACTTCTGGTCAAGACGGTAGTGTAAACACAGTACTCGCATCATCCTTCCACAATCACATTAATCACATAAAGCATATTACCTCTTTCTATTTTAAACTAGAGGCCTGGTGCACGAAAATTCGTTCACTGGGGGGGGGGGAGTCCCTCAGCCCGGCCTGCGCCCTCTCGCAGTCTGGGAACCCTCGGGGGATGTCCAACTGACAGTTTAGGCCCACTCCCCGGGGGATCGGGCCTAAGCTGGCAGTCAGTCATCCCTCTGGCAGCCTGGGAGCCCTTGGGGGATGTCTGACTAACGGCTTAGGTCCGCTCCCTGTGGGACCCTGTGGGGAGTGGGCCTAAGCCGTTAGGTGGACATCCATAGCACTGCCATGTCTGTTAGTTGGACATCCATAGCACTGCCTCTCCTGCCACCACCCCTGAGCTGGCCAGCCATGAGCCAGCTTCTGGCTGAGCTGTGGGCCCCCTGTGGAAGTGCACTGACCACCAGGGGGCAGCTCCTGCATTGAGCATCTGCCCCCTGGTGGTCAGTGCACATCATAGTGACCGGTCATTCCTGGTTGTTCTGCTGTTAGGGTCAATTTGCATATTGCCCTTTTATTATATAGGATGAGTGCTCAAAAAGTTAACATATTGAATTAAACTCTTTCTTAATGCATCTTCAGGAAAAGATTAAAGTAATCATGAACATAATCAGGAAAGCCTCAAAATTCTGTAGTGAGCCCTGGCTGCTGTGGCTCCATGGTTTCGAGCATGGTCCCTTACACTGAAACATTGTGGGCTTGATCCAGTCAGGGCTCATGCATGAGGCAGCTGATCAATGTTTTTCTTTCACATCGATGTTTCTCTCTCTCTCTCCTCTCTCTCTCTCTCCCATCTTCTCTCTCTCTCTTTCTCTCTCTCTCCCTCCCTCCCCCTCTCCCCCTCTCTCTCTCCATTCCCCTCTCTTTAAACCAATGAAAAAAATATCCTCAGGTAAGGATTGATAAAAATAAGAATAAATTTTGTAGTGAAATGTGTGTAGAGAATAAAATATTGAACTATATAATAATATATAAACTATATAAATAACAACCAAGCTATAAAATAGTCAACAGTTCATTTGTTTTTTAGCATATAATCACTGAGCACCTACTACATGCCAGGCACTGAAAATAACTGTGGTAAACTAGACCTACCTTCATGAAGGTTACAGTCTATCATGGAATGCAGACACTGGACACAAAATACAAGTAAGAAAAGCACTATAAAAGAGTCAGTGTCCCATGTTGGAGGAGGAGCTAATGAGAGGACCTAACCTAGTTGCGGGAATCAGAGAAGGGCTGTCTGAGATGTGACTGCTAAGCTGAGACAGGAGGCTAGGCAAGACTTAGCCAGAAGAAGAGAGGGTGAAAAAGAAGGCAAGAACATTCAGTACCTGAGAGAGTTCAAGGAGACTGGTATGGCAACAGCAAGGAGAGAGTAATGAGTGAAGACCCTGAGGAGGCTTATGATAAGGATCATGAAGGTCAATATTGGGTGGAGAATTGCTGATGTGTACTGACAAAACCACCTGGCCAGCTTGGGCCCTGGCTCCTGACTGCAGGGATGAGATACTGGTTCCTGAGCATGACTGGTGCTCCAAGGACACTGAAGGGGAAGGGCTGGGCCTGTGCAGCAGCTCCCTGCAGGGAAGCCTCCTTTTAGCAAGGGGTTGAGGCTTCAAGGAGCTGCCCAGCACCAGTAGAAACTGTTGGAGAAGTTGAATCCAGAGGTAGGTAATCTTGATCAAAACAGTTAGGGTCCACTTCAGTTACCAGTATGATGCTCAGGGAGAGCCCAAACCCTTGACACCTCCTCAAGAACTTCTGTTCTCAGCCTCCCCTCCATCAATTTCAACCTCTACATGGATCATTCATATTAGCACACAAACATCCTCTGTACCCATCTTTGTTCTCTTTACAGCAATACTTCTCAAAATAGTGGTGTTGACTCACTGTCTCCACTTCCTCAGCTCCAAACTCTGTACATCCTAATCATAGCTGTGCCATTTACTATGGGCTGCCTTATGGTGAGTAATTAGCCTCTGTGTGCCTCAGTTTGCATCTCTGTAAAGTGGGGGTAATATTAGCTTTGCCACTTCTATAAAATGAGCATAATAGTACCTATTTGTAGTGTGTGGGTTAATGAAATTACACATAAGGTATTCTGAGCAGGGAGGAAATAAATGCTCAGTAAGTGTTGGCTGTTGGCACGTTTCTCCCCTGGAGCTTCTAACCCTATCAAACCACAGAAACTATTCTTATCAAGGTCATCAACAATGTCCATCTCACCTAATCCATTAGTCACTTCTCTCTGTGCTCAAATGATGAAGTTTCTTAGCTGCATTTACCCCAGTTGAGCATTCCTCCTTCCCCAGTACTCTCCACTTCCCGAAGTCCACACACACACATACTAGTACTCTCCAGGATTCCCTCCTACCTCTTGGACTGCTCCTGCTGTCTTCTTTTATGGGAGGCTCTATCTTTACGTAAGAATGCCCTTGGTCATAGTCACCTTTCCTCTCTAGCTATATTTTCATTCTAGGAAAGGGCTTCTCAACCTCAGCAGTACTGATATTTGAGGCCAATCTTCTGTTGTGGGGGCTGACCTGTACATCGTAGGGTGTTTAGCAGCATCCCTGGCCTCCACCCAGTGGTTGCCAGTAGCAAACCTCCCCCAATCCAGGTGTAACAACCAAAAAAGTTTCCAGAAGTTGCCAAATGTTCCCTGGAAGAAGAGGTATCAAAAACCCATTCATAGGATTACTGCCACATCACCTTTTTCAATTGCCATTTTCTCCTCTTTTGAATTTGAACTCTAGAGTTAGTTATTGTTATACTGTTATATGGTTTGGGAGATTAAGGGTTTCTTTTTTGTTTGTTAGGATGCTCTGATCTGACATTTGACATGAAAACAAAGTGCTAGATGCTCTTGTTGACTTCCATCAATGAGATGGGGAAAATATAACAGTTCTTGGTAACATCCTTTATAATAATGGTTTGATTTTTTTATTTCAAGAGAATCTTTTTTCCAATGCTTTTCCCACTTTTACCCAGTTTCCTTATCACTTGCTATAGATGGCTTTTGTATGCATGCACACTATGTTGCAGGTCTGTTTCATTTAGTAAACTGAAAATTATTGCTTAATTTTAAAAATGCTAGTTGAGAACCACCACTCTAAAATCTAGAGTCTAGCTGATCCATCTCACTCCTGTATACCAATGAGTCCCAAACTGTACCCCTGCTTGACTTCTCCACTGAGCTCGACTTCACTTGGATGCCTAATTAGCATCTCAAATATAACATAACCAATATTGGGCTTTTAATTCACACATGCCCACACCTCCAATGCATGTTTATCTTTTAGTCTTCTCAGTCTCAATAAATAGCACCATTATCCACCTAGTTACATAAGTCCACATCACTAATCCATTTCCCTCCACCCCTCACATCTACTCTATTAGCTCTACCACCTAAATATATTCCAAATCCATCTACTTCTTTCCATCTCCGGGGTTAACATAGACCAAGATATTATCTCTCTCCTGATGATGCAATACTTGCCAACTGGATTTCTTGCTTTCTCCCTGCAGTCTAATCTTCACATGGCAGTCAGAGTGATCTTTTCAAAATATAAGTTTCTTTGTCTTCACCCCACTTGTCATTACCTGACATTATCACTCATTGTTTGTTGGTTTTATCAACAGTCTCCTCCCACTGGAATGTATGGCTTATTAGGACAGGGACCTTGTCCTTCTTGCTCACTACTATGGTAACCAATGGGGCCTTCTTGACATGATGTCATACATATAGATTCCACGTGTAGGATTCCACATGTAGGTTCTGAAGGATCTCCCCACCCCCACCTCAGGTCAGGTCCTCAGCCTCTGAAAGCCCTGTCTGCAGGCCATTCTAGAGGTGGTGAGTACAGGGGAGAGAGGACAGGCTTTGGGTCTAGTCCCACCACTTCGTTAAGCCAACCTAAAAACTGGCTGCAACCTATCGGGCCTATCGCTCACACCCCATCCTTAAATTCCCACCTATAGTTCCCCATTACAACCTCCATCACTTTATTCACTAGCCCAAGGGATTGTCTCTTGGCATCCAGGTAAAAACTCAGCCACAGGGATCAACTTCTTCAGACTTATCTCCTTCCCAGAGAGCACTCTCCCTGGTCAGGCAAGAACTGCCCCTCATGTGCTGGTCAAGTGCAGGGGGATGAGAGCAGTTTCTGAACCTCACAACAGGGTTCTGAGAGATGACACAACCCCATGAGCTGGTACCACTAGCCCGGGTGGGTAGAGGGCTGAGAGCTAACATCCCTTTGAATGCTACACTGAAATCTACAGGATTTAAGATGCTCTGGCTCCACTGTTTGAGCCCTAAGAATATTTTGATATTGCACTTTTACATAAAACTATGAAACTATTTTTGAGATTTTGCCAAAAGTATTTTCCTTAATGGATTCCATTAAGTTAATTTATTCGTTGATTTTATATATTTCAGTTAACTAATTCCAATTTTTTTCACTTTCCATTTTGTTTAGCCAAGATTATTTTTTCCAAAATCAAGTCTTTTTTTCTATGTGAATTTTACATGAAAGATTTGATTCCTCAATCAGATTTTACTGAGTACAGTTTCTGCCACTGTGAATTTCATTTGTACTAATTATTTCTACCAAGTCGTTTTCAACAGTGGAGTCAAAAGGCAAGTTTAAGACATTACCCTTTGGACTCTTTCAGCACAGCATTGCTCTTCTTAAGAGACTTTCAAGGAGTTTAGTGAGATAGTTCTTGCTGGGTTGATGAAGCATGCAGGTGGGAAGGGAGGTCTGAGGGAGCACCTTCTGCAGATCTGGTTTGATGGAATGAGAGACTGAACTTCTATTCATTGACCCATCAGGGAAATCCACACAACTTTCTGGGTGGCAAGCAAAGCCACCTA